ATTTTCTATACAACTTAACATCCTTCCGAAGAGGATGATTATTTCCTCATTGATGTGGTAGATGAAGTGGTCGAAGAATCTCTCCCCTTCATTCTAAGCAAAGATCCTTTGAAAACTTGCATGTCTCATTTTGACTTCTTAAACTTTGTTATTGACCAATCCATCCAAGAAGTAAATTCTTTGCTTGACATGAATGCTATCATGAATTGTCCTCCTTGGAAGGTGCCAAGAGAACTACTTTCCACTACTCCCTCAACTTTCCACTACTCTTCCGGTCCCTTTCTTGAAATCTTCACCACAACTTGAGTTAAAGCCGCTCCCGGCCCACCTTAAGTATGCGTTTCTTGGTGCAAATCAAACTCTTCCCGTCATCATTGCATCAGACCTTTTAAAAGACCAAGAAAATAGCCTTTTAGCGGTGATATAAGAGCACAAAGAAGCTATTGGTTGGGCGGTGGCTGATTTGAAAGGAATCGACCCTTCTATTTATATGCATCGCATTCATATGGAGGACGACACTAAACCTTCTAGAGAGGTGTAGCGCCAGTTGAATCCCAACATGAAGGAAGTGGTCATGAAAGAAGTGATCAAGCTACTAGATGCGGGAATCATCCACCCCATCTCTGATAGCAAGTGGGTGAGCCCCACTCAAGTTGTTCCCAAGAAATCCGGCCTCACCATTGTTGAAAATTCAGCAGGAGAACTCGTGCCACAATGCACCACCACTAGGTGGCATGTGTGCATTGACTACCGGAAACTTAACTCTACCACTAAGAAGGAGCATTTTCCACTTCCATTCATTGATTAAATCCTAGAGAGGGTCGCCGGCCAAAGTTACTACTGTTTCCTTGATGGTTATTTTAGCTATAACCAAGTGGCAATTGATCCTCAAGATCAAGAGAAGACCACATTCACATGTCCCTTTGGAACATTTGTCTATAGGCGCATGCCCTTTGGGCTATGCAATGCATCGGCAACCTTCCAAAGGTGCATGATGTCCATATTTTCCGATATGGTCGAAAAGTCTTTGGAAGTGTTTATGGATGATTTTTCCATCTTTAGATCTTCCTTTGACTCCTGTCTCCATAATCTATCCCTTATGCTTCAAAGATGCAAGGAGACAAATCTGATTCTAAGTTGGGAAAAAAGTCATTTTATGGTCCAAGAGGGCATTGTCCTGGGACATGTCATTTCTAAAAGGGGAATCAAGGTCGATAAGGCCAAAGTCGAATTGATCTCTAATCTTTCTCCTCCAAATTCTGTCCGAAAAATCCGTTCATTTTTTGGTCATGCCGGCTTTTATCATCGTTTCATCAAAGATTTTAGCAAAATATCCCGGCCTTTATGTAATCTACATGCCAAGGATATTCCCTTTAATTTTGATGAAGCCTGTTTGGAAGCTTTCAAGAAGCTCCGTACTCTTTTCTCATCAACCCCTATCATAAAAACACCCAACTGGTCTCTCCCATTTGAGATCATGTGTGATGCATCCAATTATGCATTGGGTTCAGTTTTAGGCCAGCATATGAACAAGCTACTGCATGCCATCTATTATGCTAGCAAAACTCTATCTGATGCTTAATTGAATTACACCACCACTGAAAAAGAGTTGCTAGCTGTGGTGTACGCCTTGGATAAATTCCGTTCTTACCTTCTTGGATCCAAGGTCATAGTCTTTTCGGACTATGTTGCTCTTAGGCATTTGCTTGCTAAAAAAGAGACCAAACCCCACCTAATTCGATGGATACTCTTACTCTAAGAGTTTGACATTGAAATCCGGGACAAAAAAGGGACAGACAATGTTGTCGCAGACCATCTCTCTCCCTTGCCCTCTCAATTCTTCATTTCTTCCTTCTATCTACTCCTCTCCCATCTCCTCTTCCTCCCCCACTCCATTATCTCACCTCCCTCTCATTCTCAAAGTCTCCCATCACCAAGCAAAAAGGGTTTTTGGTTCCTACAAGTGGGTAAGCTTCCTCTACTCTTTTTTTCTCTAAATTTTTTATCAATGGAGGACGAGATTGTTCCTCATGGTTGAACCGCGTGTCAACTTCATTGAGATACAAAGAACAAAAAGTTATGCATTCAATATCCACATAAGCTTCAGCAATTGAACCCTTCGGGCATGCTTTGTTGCACATGTATGACTTAATAGTGCACAAAAATCTTTCAATAGGGTACATCCATCAATATTGTACAGGACTAGCTATGAGCGCCTCTCGGGGCAAATGCACAGCAAGATGAACCATGATATCAAAAAATGCTGGAGGGAAGATCATCTCTAACTTGCAAAGTATAAGAGCAATATCCCTCTCAAGAGCCTCTAGCATTTCAACCTTTAATGTCATACAACACAACTCTTTAAAGAAAAGGCCAACTTTAGCCAATGCATTACAAATATCATGATCTAAACAACCACGAATGCCGACTGGTAAAAGTCGTTGCAGAAGAATATGCGAGTCATGACTTTTCATCCTGTATATTTTGCATTCAACAACATTAGCACACCGTGATATGTTAGATGAATATCCATCTGGAAATTTAATCGTCTTCAACCATTCACAAAACTCCTTTTTTTCTTCTATTGACAATGTGTAACGTGCAAGTGGCATCACATATTTTGCACCAATAGAGATAAGATGCAATTCTTTTCTTATTCCCGTCTCTTATAAATCCAGATGAGCCTTCAAACTATCTTTTGTTTTCCCTTCAATATTAATCAAGGTCCCTAACAAATTGTCACAGATATTTTTCTTGATGTGCATGATATCAAGGTTGTGCCGCAACTTAAGCAATCTCCAATATGGTAATTCAAAAAAAAAAAAAAAAAAAAAAAAAAAAAAAAAAAAAAATGCTCATTTTTGTCCAATTAAGCTCAATTGTAGTACGTTTCCTCTTTTTAATATTTGGTACCTTCCCGAAATTGACATCCCTTATATGATCTAATTGTTCTAATTTTTCTAGAATCTCATCCCCAAACAACTCCTTAGGTGGTAATATGTGCTTCTTATAACCATAAAATTGCTTCGAATGATTCCGCTAATCATGATCCAAATCCAACCAGCGTCGATGACCACGGTAACTAATCTTTTTACCATTTTTCAACCACACTGATTCTATGTCTTCCATGCACCTTGGACATGCCATATACCCCTTCGTACACCAACCGGACAAATCCGCCAAAGCAGGAAGGTCATTTAAAGTCCATAGACATGCTACATGTAATTTAAATTTTCTTCTAGTACATGCATCATAAGTTGAGACGCCATCCACCCACAATTCTTTTAACTCGTCTATCATTGTCTTAAATACAGGTCAATGTCCTTTTTAGATGATTTTGGACAGGGAAAAAGCAATGGCATGAACACATATGGATCCCTCATCAATTTCCAAGGTGCGGCATTGTATGCTACAATAAAGATAGGCCACACGCTATATGCATTGTTCATGTTACCAAATGGATTAAATACATCAGCTCCTAACCCTAATCGAATGTTTCGAGGGTCTTTTGCAAACCAACCATGTTGATTATCAAATTCCTCCCAAGCTCTAGAATCTGCCGGATGTTTTAAAACATTCGTCTCCTTAACACGTTTTTCCTTGTGCCACCTCACATCTTTCGCAGTCTTTCTTGACATATACAATCTTTGAAACCTTGGTTTCAAGGGAAAATATCGAAGAACCTTCTGAGGAACTTTTTTCCTTTTGCCTTCATGGAATTTATGCTGAGGTGCACCACATTTAGGACACTCCTCATTATGCTCATATTCTTTCCAAAAGAGTACACAATCATGTTTACATATATAATTCTCACTGTTTATGACAAATCGCTCTCACACTTCAAGCATGCTCTTGCTCTCGCGCTCCATGCATGCTTTCGCTTAAATTCTCTGTCGCTCTCAGCTCCCACTCTCGAATTTGATCGTTATTGATTTTACTTCCGCTTTACGTGACTTAGCCTAAAACATGTGTTAGTTGACCAATTCCCTCCGATCAATCAGTGAAGTGCATATTAAACATAAAGCTTATCAATCAGCACAATATTTTATTCACGACATTGAAACACCCAACCTCTCCTTCCTACCATCTGAGCTAATATCTTAATACCTATTGGTACCTACCGTGTATATTCTAGCTATGTTGTTTCTATCAGTTACTCCATGTGTTAAGAAATTATATATATATATATATATATATATATATATATATATATATATATATATATTGTTATTACTTGTGTTTATCAGGTGCTGGAATAGAAGGATTATTAAATTTCTCTTCAAAGTGGTGGATGTCTCCTTAGAGAGGGAGAGATCTTTGGAAATATAACATGAAAATGGGGTGTGTTGATGGAGAGAGAAACAATCTTACAGTTTCATGTGTTGAAATTATATATATATATATATATATATGTTCCGTGTTATACTTTAATAATTACCAAAACAAAAATTATCTGATTTTTAATCAGGTGCTAGAAGTGGTAGAAGGATTAGAAAATACATGAAAAGTAATGCAATTAAGAGAGGTCCATGACAAGAGTCTTCAGCTCTTCATATATATATATATATATAATCATAAAATTTATATTATAGTGTAATGGACCATATTTCTCTCCAAATGTTGTACAAAGTTATTTATTTAGATTGTTATATTTTTTTATATTTTACAAAACACCAAGAATGCATCTATAATATAGATTTATTTAGACGTTTGATAGAACTATTTAATAATAATAAAGTCAATTTTGATAAATCAATTCATACTACCAAACTATGAAATGTTACCTTCCAGCATTATTTTATTTTTATCTAACCAAATGTACATACCACCGTGTGGTATCACGCGAAAGTGGTAGGCGGGTGATTGGAGAGAGATATAAACAAACAAACTTTTGGCACCACCAACATTATTGCCTATATATATATATATGAACTCAAAAGTTTCTTAATTATAACATACATTCAATCAATCTTATTCTTATTGCTCTTAGTACCACAAATATGAGTACTTGTGAACTTCCCACCACAACAGAGAGTCTTTCCGGTGATGAGCTGCCAAATAGTGAGGATTATAAAAAAGGCGTCGAGTATATTACTGATACGTGGCCAAACTTGTCCAAGCTACCTTCAGAATATGTTTTGCCATTAACCACTAATCCATTATTAGTTAGTCATGATTCAATTCCTGTCATCGATTTGAGTGGTCTCAATGGATCGGCTGAGTCTAGAATGATGACTATTCAGGCCCTCGATTCTGCCTGTTCCGAATGGGGAATCTTCGGAGTAATATATATATATATATATATATATATATATATATATATATATATGAATATATTTTGTTTATTAGTTTTTATAAAAATTAACATGCAACGCAGGTTGTTAATCACGGGATAAAGATCTCTGTAATGGAGGAAATGCTTGAGGCCGTAGTAGGATTTTTCAATCTTTTTTTTTTTTTTTTTTTGGTTAAAAGGGTAAGCTTTTTTTGTTAAAAGGATTTTTCAATCTTTCTTGGGAAGAGAAGATGAAATATAATACGAATAGTCCAATGAATCTACCTGCTGCTGGGTATGGAACAAGCCTGCCTATGTCCTCCAAGTATTCTATCTGGAGGGACTATATGAGACATCATGGGCAGGCCGTCCTCTTCATAGCAACTCTGATCTTTGGCCTAGCAATCCCTCTAACCATAGGTATATATATATATATATATAGAGAGAGAGAGAGAGAGAGAGAGAGAGAGAGAGCTTTAAATTCATGAATTTAATTAATTGCCAAAATTAATCCAATAAAATCTGTGAATTGAAGGAACATAGCCAAGGAATTTATAGAGGAGGTTTGGCAGTTGCAACTGAAGATAGCAAGTGCATTATCAGAAGCTTTAGGGCTTGACAGTGATTACATAGAGAAGTCACTTGGAGAAGGTTTTCAAATCGTTGGTTCTAATTATTACGCGCCATGTCAAGAGCCACACCGAACACTAGGGATACGCGAACATTCTGATCATGGTGGACTTACAGTTTTGATGCAAAATGATGTCGATGGCTTACAAGTTGAACATGATGGAGAATGGGTTGCTGTTAGAATCGTGCCAGGGTCTTTTGTAATCAACATAGGAGATTACATGGAGGTTAGTCCAATATCTGTTCATGTAATTTTACTTCAGAAAATATATAAGATATTAACCTATATTTCTGTGATCTTAGATTTTGAGCAATGGAAGGTACAAAACTTTGAAGCATCGAGGTGTGACAAATGCACAAAGAACGAGGATATCAATAGCGGTGGGCAATGGTCCTGGTCTGACCTCCACAGTTGCACCTGCAAGCCCACTGCTGGATGAGAAGATTGAGATAAAATCAAAACGGCACTATAAGAGGAAAAAGTCCATTGCAAGCCATGAATGATCTACAAGTCAACAAATGAAGCTTCTTCCATTCCATTACTTGCCAAAAGTATAAGGGACCTAAAAGTTTCAATAGTGAATTGAATTTGCAAGCCATAACCTATGTATGGGTCATAAATAAGCTGGCTTTCATAGTAGTAACGGTAGAACTCCTTTGTGTTTTTATTTCTTTTGTTGTTGTTCTTCTTATATATTTTCTTATACATATTGTTTATCCCATTATTTCTGGATAAGTGGAAAGTTGACATATGACGAGTTCCAAGGGGCTTGTATACTAGATTAATATTCCAGTAACAGGAAAATAAGCTACAATCAGGGATGAAAGACGAATACTACCTTTAGTTAGTTCCACCTAGCCACGCAAGTTTAAAACATGCTTAATTGCTGTCATGTGGAACTAAAGGCCTGGTCAAGAACATGAATGATTATATGAGGTGAGGTGTACCAAAAGGAGAAAGCATGTGGCAATCAATGGCCACGTGTAAGGTTTGGATTGCCAAAAATTGGGAAATTAATTTAAGATGATATTTGACTTTGTCAAATAAAGGAATGTGTAATTATCCTAACATAATTCTAACTTACCATGTAAGTAAGGATTATGCCTAAAATTTAGGAATCTCGTTAAGTGAGGAGGGATTGCAGAAGAAGAAAATCTCTTAAAGGGCTAAGATTCAGTCCAGGTACAGTACAAAGAGGAGAGATTTTAGGAGGAGGTTGCCACATGAATAGCATAATGTCCAAAATGGGTCAAAACTGCTTAAAGAAGTTGCTAAAATATTGGTGTCATGCATTAAATCAGAACATGGGATTCAGTTTTTCAAATTAAAAGGGGTTATAAGTGGCATAATCCTAGCAAAAATGGTGTATGTGGCTGCCATACAAGGAAAGTTTTACGTCAAAGTTGACTATATCAACTCTACCAAGTGACGTGTCAACTCTAGAAGGCGGCCACTTGCCTTATTTAGGTGAGGAGGTTGCAAAAAATAAGCAAGTGGGTGAAAACATGAAGCATTTACCAAAGAAAGCTGAGGAAAACGTGGGACACCTGGCACAATCCGACCTTCTAGGTTGAAATTTTCAACTGCTGCTGGAACAGCTGCCTTTCCATCTGGGCAGTTCCAAAACGTGGGTAAATGCTTGCAACAAGCATTCAACCACCAAAACCACTCTTTCACAGATCTGTTTCTTTCTAACTTTACTTATTTTAGTAATTAATAAATTAATCTCATGCAAAATAAAATAAAGCAAAGTAAAGAGCTAGTTAGAGATGACACCAAGATTTTTAGCAAGGAAACCTCAGTTGATAAAATAGATCAATTGTTCGTGTGGGAAAAACTTCGTGGACAATGCAATCCAAAGTAAACCGATCCACTATAAATGAAACAAAGTATACTGAACTTTAATTCTAACTCACACCCTATCGTTCTACTAAATACTAATAGCTGACAATCATATGGCTTTGCGACGTCCCGTCCAACAGTAACTTGACCTCAGGCTTATTTTTGATCTTTGTAGAAAGGTAGTACGTAAATTAAACAACACTCATCGAATGCTTTGACCCTTTCAAAGTGTGATCATTTTTACATCTATTTTTCAATATCTGAATTCAAAGTAGAAGTAGATCTGCTTTTTTTTTATCGCTGTAGATGCAAAACTTTGATCACGATCAGAATTTGAACAATACTTTAAACTCAGTACTCTTGTGTTTATGTGTATGATCTAGAAAGACTGACAAAGAAATCTCTTCGATTTTCTATAAAAATAATCTTCCTAAGGCTTTTATGAATAATGAAGTTATAGTGCCAAAGCCGTTCTTAAACCTAGATAACTATCAGGGTTTAAATAAAATTTTCAAAGATCTAATCCATAAAAAAATATAGAAAATTTCATGTATAGGACTTTTGGTATAATTCTAAACCAAGTAGGAAAGAAATCAGAATATGATTGCAAAATTACCAAATCCTGTAGAAGACTTTTGAATCGGTTCAAGAATGGCAGAGTGAATTTCGAAGCCAATGATGAAGGCTTGAACCGGTTCCAAGACACTTGAACCGGTTCAAGTATGCCAGACTTGAATCCTAAAGCTCTGAAGGTTAAAAACATTGTATTGGTAAGTTCGAAAAATATACCAAGTATGGAATGTGTCCTAACCTCTTTAGATTTCTTCCTAAAGTGTTGTTCTTTCCTTTCTTGATAATCTCAATATAGTACCTTTGAACAACCTTCCAATTCCGCAGTTGATGTCAATCCTGATATGGCAACTTGAAATTATAACTCAACTAGGACTTGTTTTGACACCGAAAAATTGCCAATTTCAGAATTCATATCTCACAGTCCATTGATTCTGACATACTCATAACTGAACTCTAAGATACCTCAGTTCAGCAAACCCAAGTTGCAGACCTCCATGCTGCATGACCTATATGCAATATAAATAGTTACCTGAGAGTAACGTACAGACCATTTACACCGGTGAGCTCTAAGCAACAACATCCATCGAAAACGGAGAGAATATCTAAGTCTCAAGCACCCAAATGGCGAGAGCACATAGAAGAAGATCCATCACTGTACTCCATCTGAAACACGACCGAGAACTCGGTGAACTTCAATCTGTTGCAAAGATTCAGCACCCAGCGGTCTTCAGTGTATATTTAACATATATATGTATATATATATATATATATATGTATATAAGGGTATTATCGGAAGAGATAAGGGTATTTTTAGAATTTTACATTTTTAAAATGTCATGTGTAAAACACCTAACTAAATTTTTAACGAAACAGTGACCTCAAAGCTCTTCTTTGCTCATTTTTTCAAATTTAACGGACTTATATACTTAAAATAAATAAATATTAGGAGTGTTATTTGCTCAAAATTTAAATATCCTGCCTAGTGTTTCTCACTTTACCCTTGACTGATTGAGTATGTAATTTAAAGTCTTACACAGTATGAAGTTCTTACATCTTGCTTTTAAGTTCTAATGTGATATGAAAAACCAAATATTTTTTCCTCTCTAATCGTTTTGTCCCCTTCTAAATGCAGATAATCAATTAATACGATCATTACGATGGGACTCCAAAGTCAAACACCATTCAACAAAGGACAATTCATCTAGAATGTTACCACCCTCAATTCAACCCAAAAGCTTTGGAGGATTTCGTCATTAACAGTTCGATCTCTCCGGAAGGTTTGATTCCATCTAGTTTATGAGAGTTCATAAGTAAAAGTCAAAAAAAGTCAAAAATGCCAGCTTATTTATTTATTTTGTTTGGTTACCAACTTAATTAAATGTAGTTTATTCCGAGCCATTTATTTAACTAATAAGAGGTCGATGTGGTTGAATACGTTTCTACAGCAGACCTATACCTAGAACATGTGTTAGTTGACATCAGCACAACATTTTATTCACTACATTGAAACACCCAACCTCTCGTTCCTACGGTCTTGAGCTAATATTGTACCGTATATATCCTAATTATGTTGTTTTTTTCAATTACATGTGTTATATATATATATATATATATATATATATATATATTATAATTTCTTAACAAATGTAACTGAGAAAAACAACATAGCTAGGATATACACGGTACAATATTAGCTCAAGATGGTAGGAACGAGAGGTTGGGTGTTTCAATGTAGTGAATAAAATGTTGTGCTGATTGATTACCTTTATGTTTAATATACACTTCTATGACCTCACTCTGCATATGTAATGTGATTAGATGGAACTGGTCAACTAACACGTGTTTTAGGTCTAGGTCTGCTGTAGAAACGTATTCAACCACATGGATCTCTTATTAGTTAAATAAATGGCTCGGAATAAACTACAATTAATTAAGTTGTTATATATATATATATATATTATAATTTCTTAACACGTGTAACTGAGAAAAACAACATAGCTAGGATATACACGGTACAATATTAGCTCAAGATGGTAGGAACGAGAGGTTGGGTGTTATTGTTATTACTTGTGTTTATCAGGTGCTGGAATAGAAGGATAAATATTAAATTTCTCTTCAAAGTGGTGGATGTCTCCTTGGAGAGAGAGAGATCTTTGGAAATATAAGTAATCATGTGGTATAACATGAAAATGGGGTGTGTTTATGGATAGAGAGACAATCTTACAGTTTCATGTGTTGAAATTTTATATATATATATATATGTTTTGTTAATATTTACTTTAATAATTAACAAAAGAAAAATTATCAGATTTTTAATCAGGTGCTAAAAGTGGTAGAAGGATTAGAGACTACATAAAAAAAAAATAAATAAATAAATAAAAAAAAAAGAAAAAAAAAAGAAAAAGAAAGAAGGTAATGCAATTAAGAGAGATCCTATGACAAGAATCTTAAACTCTTTATATATATATATAACCATAGATTTTATATTATAATGTAATAGACCATATTTCTCTCCAAATGTTGTACAAAGTTATTTATTTAGATTCTTATATTATTTTATTTTTTACAAAGCACCAAGAATGTCATCTGCAATATAAATTTATTTAGACGTTTAATAGTACTATTTAATAAAAATAAAGTCAATTTTGATAAATCAATTCATACTATCAATTCAACTATGAAATGCTACCTTCCATTATTTTATTTCTATCTAACCAAATGTACATACTGCCGTGAGGTATGACGCGAAAGTGGTTGGTGGAGTCTCTGCTGGAGTAAGATGAAAGTGGTGGGCGGGTGCTTGGAGAGAGGGATAAACAAACTTTTGGCACCACCAAAAACGCCTATATATATGAACATACATTCAATCAATCTCATTCTTATTGCTCTTAGTACCACAAATATGACTACTTGTGAACTTTCCACCACAACAGAGAGTCTTTCTGGTGATGAGCTGCCAAACAGTGGCGATTATCAAAAAGGCGTCAAGTACATTACTGATACGTGGCCAATTTTGTCCAAGCTACCTTCAGAATATGTTTTGCCATTAACCACTAATCCATTATTAGTCAGTCATGATTCAATTCCTGTCATCGATTTAAGTGGTCTCAATGGATCGGCTGAGTCTAGAATGATGACTATTCAGGCCCTCGATTCTGCCTGTTCCGAGTGGGGAATCTTCGTGGTAATATATATATATATATGTATGTATGTATATGTATGTATTTATGTAGGTATGTATATATTTTGTTTATTAGGTTTTAAAAAAAATTAACATGCAATGCAGGAAATGCTTAAGGCCGTGGTAGGATTTTTCAATCTCTCTTGGGAAGAGAAGACGAAATATAATACGAATAGTCCAATGAATCTACCTGGTGCTGGGTACGGAACAAGCCTGCATACATCCTCCAAGTATTCTCTCTGGAGGGACTATATGAGACATCATGGGCATGGCCGTCCTCTTCATAGCAGCTCTAATCTTTGGCCTAGCAATCCCTCTAACTACAGGTAGATATATATGTATATAGAGAGAGAGAGGGAGAGAGCTTTAAATTCATGAATTTAATTAATTGCCAAAATTAATCCAATAAACTCTGTGAATTGAAGGAACATAGCCAAGGAATTTATAGAGGAGGTTTGGCAGTTGCAACTGAAGTAGCAAGTGCATTATCAGAAGCTTTAGGACTTGACAGTTATTACATAGAGAAGTCACTTGGAGAAGATTTTCAAGTCATTGGTTCTAATTATTACGCGCCATGTCCAGGGCCACACCGAACACTTGGGATACCTGAACATTCTGATCATGGCGGACTTACAGTTTTGATGCAAAATGATGTCGATGGCTTACAAGTTGAACATGATGGAGAGTGGGTTTCTGTTGGAATCGTGCCGGGGTCTTTTGTTATCAACATAGGAGATTACATGGAGGTTAGTCCAATATCTGTTCATATAATTTTACTTTAATACTGCATAATATATATATATATATATATATATATATATATATATATATATATATAAGATATTAACCTATATTTCTGTGATCTTAGATTTTGAGCAATGGAAGGTACAAAACTTTGAAGCATCGAGGTGTGACAAGTGCACAAAGAACAAGAATATCAATAGCTGTGGGCAATGGTCCTGGGCTGACCTCCATAGTTGCACCCGCAAGCCCACTGTTGGATGAGAAGAGTGAGATCAAATACCCTAACCACGTCACGTACAAAGAGTACATGGAACTACATCAGAACGGCACCATAAGAGGAAAAAGTCCATTGCAAGCCATGAATGATTTACAAGTCAACAAATGAAGCTCCTTCCATTCCATTACTTGCCAAAAGTATAAGGGACCTAAAAGTTTCAATAGTGAATTGAATTTGCAAGCCATAACCCATGTGTGGGTCATAAATAAGCTAGCTTTCGTAGAAGTAACAGTAGAACTCCTTTGTGTTTTTATTTCTTTTGTTGTTGCTCTTATATATTTTCTCATACATATGTTGGGATTGTATATTCTGCAAAGCCATTCATGGATTGTAATTGACTTAGTTTTAATAAAATTTTGAGTTTTTATTTATGTGCTTAAATATATGGTGAATGTGTGTATTAGTTAATCCAATATTTGAATTAAGTGTTCATTGATTAATATAAAGGAATGATTAATGTTTACAGGGAAAAGAGTCCAGTGAGGAAATATAAATCTTCAGTATTCATATTATACCCTCAATATATAAACCTATAAAAAAGTATATATTCGTATTTATGGGGAGGGTTTTTCTCTTTTTCCCACCTCTTTTCTTCCCAAATTTGGACAGATGGAAAAACATGGTATAGGAGGGTTGTTTATCCCTTGTTACTTCTTCCCTCTCTCCTCTCTTCCATGCTTCATTCCAATCAAACATAGAATAGTGGAGGAAATGTTGGAGGCCGTAGAAGATGAAATATGCTTTTTGGAGGAAGTTTGGCAGTTGGCCGGCACTGAAGATAACAAGTGCAATATCAAAATGCTTAGGATTTGACAGTGATTACATAGAGAAGTCACTTGGAGAAGGTTTTCAGATTGTTGCTTGATAAAGAATATGTATAGTTGTATAATCTTTAATTTGACTTTCTATGTTCCGTTCCTTGTTTACATCCTAAACTTTAGGAGATTTGATTGTCATCTTTGATTAATGAAACTCAATTGTAACCTTGTATATAAATATATTCAAAACTACTTCAGTTTTATCATTCCTTCTAATCGATGGGTAGTGTGAAGACTAATAAAACTACTATAAATGTTAGCCTACCTTACGTCTTCTCGTCCAAACGCTCTTGCCTTTAGATTTTCTCCTCAATTCTTATAAAGTATGTTATTCTGGTTTTGCGTCTCCTATTCCAAACGCTCTTGACATTAGATTTACTCCTTAATCCTTCTAGAAGGGTCACTGGTAGAATATGAACATTCCTGAAATGTTATGTCCCTTTTGTAGCACGATCGAATCCTCATTTCATTGATCTGTTGATCAATGAAGAAAATCCCTACTTCTGAACGAAATTAACTAGACCTCCAACAAGCTAAGGTATAAGTGGACAAAATGTGGGACTAGGGGGTAAAATGGTCATTTTATCCAATGAAGAGTAAATTTAACAAGTCAAATGAGGTCTATAAAATCTATTCATATCATTTTATAACATCCCAAGAGGTTCTAATGACCTTAATCATGGTTTCCCCCCAAATAACCCTTCTTGGGTTAAGTGAATAACCGACACTAGCTATCCCACTAAAATATGAATATCTCTCAATAGGATGGGAATCTAAAAATGGGATTGATACCGTTGGGAATCTGACTCAAAATCCTTAAATTTAGGCTCAAGAATGACCTAATTTGGATTAAAAAGGAAGGAGATCTATATGGTTGTCCGAGGTCAGCATGACAAAGTTGTCCCCAAAAACTAAAAAAGGGAGGTTTCAGGGAGGATCAGCCGACGTACTGAAAGTGGACTTTCAGCCAGCTGATGACCGGTTGAACAAGCTTTTAGTACCTAAACATTCTGCCCGAGACAAAAATGGCATGTCAGTTGGCTGGTGATATAAGCTTTGTCATGGACTTCACCTACATCAAATATATGGGTCCTAATGATGTTCAAAACAATCATCTAATTCATGAAACTTGGCATGAAAATTAAGATACCACATACATGGGTCAATACAACATGCAAAGATGTGCATTTAAAACATAAATTGTATAAATTGAAATAAAATGGCATCTTGGACTCCATACATCATCTTGAAGTCAAATATTATATATACATATTCCGAAATAAATACATGAACTTACATCCATAAGGAAATAAGGTATAAAATTGGGATTGAAATGTCAAAAATATACATGAAGACACAATTACATCCATGAATTCCAATTACAATATGATCAAAGGAAGCTACATCGACACTTATAAAGTATACAACACATCAAAGCTATCCAATATCCCAAGATAGGTTCAAATGGAAACAAGAATACATCCAAGCAAGATGAAAGTACATCCATGCAAATCACGTCTCTTCCTAACAAACATTGATCAACGAGTGTGAGTAATCTAATTAATTACTTCATAGGAAAGTCCATTATAAGGATAACCTAGGGTTCATTGGCCTCGCAAGAATAACACAAGGTATACAAGTGTGGTTCATGCCACCTAATCGCCTAGTTCAAGGGTAGTTTAAGGAATCATCTTAGAACTAGTATTTGAATCATTAAATGAGCAACCACTCAAGTACATAAACAAAACAAGAAGTATACAACAACTCCTGAATAATCCAAGTCACAACAACATAAAAATGTTATCTTGGAAACTCAATACGAAATCACATAATAGGGATAACTTAGACGCACACACCCACCCGGCCATGCACAAAACATGCACCGAGATAACCAAGTTATTTCTGCGCTACTAACCTGCATGGAACTACCCAAGTGGCCACTATAAATTGGGGAAACTCATCATGTCTCCCTCGCTAGCGCCATACCCTAGCATTCTCCAAGTAACAAAGGTCCCAAGTATCTCCCAAAAATCATCAATTGATCCACAATATAATCCATATATCCAATGCACACATATTGCATCTTTCATATACATGTAAGCAATGGAAATCAAGCAATTCATGCCGTATAGTCTTCAATACTAAATTATAGCTAGCATAGATATAGATAAAATGTTATACATTGCAATTGTATTATAATGACCCAAACTCGGAGGTCCGGATCGTTAATCAGGTCCTAACATGACTTGGGAACACCCAAGGGTAAAATGGTTATTTTGACCAAAACAGTATACTAGAGGTCATAATAAAGTCATAATGGTAATTACTAATCAAATTGATTCACTTACGGATGAAAGAATCAACTCCGTCCCCAAATTGGTCCACATAGGGTTACAAGGATAATTTGGTCTTGTTGGACCATGCAACGTATTGGGGACTGTACTACTATCATTTAGGTCATATTTAGTCACTTAGATTCATTTGTAAATATAAGAAGATAACTTGGTTCGAGATCACTCGTTTTAGGACTAAAAGGGTAAAAATATCATTCTGGGCCATTCTGCTCATATTTCGGCGGGGCTATAATGATCTAAGCCTCTTACATACCTTGTGAGACCTATACGTTGAAGCCCGTAGCCAACGAAAAACCTTCAAAAAAATAGTACCTAAATCCTAATACGGAGCGCTCTGTAGACGTCCTCGGAACGCTCGGAGGGTGCCACGAGCACCCCAACATATGCCCCGAGCGCTCGTGGACATCCCCAAAGCGCTCGGTGGACACCCAAAGAGTGCTCAAGGTGTGCCTTGAGTACCCTAGCGTGTGCCGAACGCTCAAGGAAGCTTAGAAATGGGCTTTTCGCCCATTTTTGCCCCCGTTCATGTTCCGGAACATTCTTTTTGGTCATTTTTTACCTCATAGTCCTTGTCCCAACTCACAAACATGTCATAAATGCGGGATATTTAAGTACATTTCATTACGAATATTAAAAAACGGAAGTATGGCCATCAATTCACCATTTACATTGCCAAACATTACATCAAGTAGTCCATGAAGGACATAGTTGCAAGTTTAGACACTTATGATCACAATTACATCACTTTACAAAGATTTGAAGTATAATTAAACATCGGTTACAAAATCATCAAAATGATGCTTCCATCGACTCTAACTACACATGTGAGGGTTCGTTATCGACCACGTCATCGTCATAACCTGAAAAATATTAAAGGAAAGGCTGAGCACGGAGGCTCAATAGGAGATGCTTAAGACGCCAACTTTAGACTCCCTTGAGCCGCACATCACACATTGGGGATTAAGAGAAACCAATATCATACTTAGGGAATTTTATAGCATTTGAATCACAAACCAATATTAACAAGTATTTAAGTACGTAATCCATCAAAATATTGCATAAAATGCAATACAATGCACAACCATAATTTAAACTTGGTCTCCACCTATCCTAACTAACACCGAAAATTGCTAATCGACTTTACCGATGTGAGGTTGAGTTACTATCCCTGGTTCCAAATCCGGCAACCATTTGGGGCCTAGTAATTAAGTTTTCACGTCATAAATCAGCACACACTCCCTTTAGGTCGAATTAGCACCGGACTCGCAAAATTTGATTTATTTTATAAAAATCCATTTTGTGCCCATTCACAATTCCCTTCCCACCTTGTCATACACATCAATCAAATTCCTCAATATAACTTCATTTCCATTTACATGGTATCAATGACATAAACATGACATTTTCTAGAATTTAAGCATAAACATGACATTCTTTACAATTTAAGCACAAGTATAGCATTCTTAATATTTCAATCACAAGCATACTCCCATGTAAATTATATCAACAAAATCATGCTAACACCTTGGCACAATTATGCAATTCTTCAATTGTTCAATGACAATACTTCATTAACATGGAAAGGAAATATTTTATACATCAATACTAGAATGCTTTCATCACATCTTCTTTAATTATCATTTCATTCATAAAACTTGCATTCAATATAGCCAAGTAAAGAATCAATGGAAGATAACAAAAGGCAAAGTATAGAGCATTAGAAATTAATCCCTACCTCAAATGAGACAACCAAACAAGCCTTTAAGCTAGCCAAACAAGCCTTTAGGACACCCCAAATTTCGGATTCCTCCCAGTGCTTGCACCATTGGTCTCAAAATCTAGCCCTTGTCATTTTCTTAAACTTTCCCTTCTATGGCTTCACCAAAATCTCACTCTAAACCGACCAAAATGATTTAAAGCATGGAAGACATATATG